CTTCCTTCTTTCCCGTAGCATCCTGAAGGAGCTCCTGCAGGTCCAGCAGAGCTTGGGCTATTGCCCCCAGTTTGATGCACTCTTCGATGAGCTGACAGCCCAGGAGCACCTCGAGCTCTACACCCGCCTGCGTGGCATTCCCTGGAAGGATGAGGAGCGGGTAGGAGCCTGGGTGGGCAACATGGGCTGGTGCTGTGCCACGAGGATGGAATCTCACCAGCCTCCATCAGGGACCTGAGCTGGTGCTGGTGCCTCATGGCAGAGCCATCCTGGTGGTGCACGCACATATGGGGTACCAGGGGTAGGCAAACACACTTGCAGGTCCCTACCAACACTCGTGGCTGTGCTGGGGGCTCCATGGGGCTCCCCTGGCTGGCACATGGCTTGCGGTCCCCTTGGCTGCTGTCCTGTGCCATGGAGCTCAACTGTGGAACCGCTGCCAGCTCTGCCAGCCCCGTGGCCTTGGCAAGGTGATGGCAGCAACCCCTGTGCTTGCAGGTGGTTAAGTGGGCCCTGAAGAAGCTGGAGCTGACCAAGTATGCGGACAAACCTGCCAGCACCTACAGCGGGGGCAACAAGAGGAAGCTGTCCACAGCTATCGCACTGATCGGATACCCGGCCTTCATCTTCCTGGTGCGCCCTGGCCTCCACCACCCTGCCTGTGGGATCCTCCTCCCACCCGCCTGTCCCTGGGGTTGGCACTACGCAGGGTGGAGAAATGCCCCTGGGTGGGAGCTGCTTGCCCCCAGCTCCACCACATGTCCTGGGGTGTGGGATGGTGTGACAGAGGGGGAAGGGCAGGGTACCAGGGGCTGGCATGTTTGAGGATGCTGTCTGTCCCCCAGGACGAACCCACCACGGGGATGGACCCCAAGGCACGGCGCTTCCTCTGGAATCTCATCCTGGATGTCATCAAAACTGGGCGCTCCGTGGTGCTCACATCTCACAGGTGCAGGGGGCTTCAGACTGGGCCTGTGGTGCCTCTGGGCACCTGGGTGCTGTGGGGTGGGAAGGTCTCTGGACCCTTGGGCAGGCAGCAGAGGGAACGTGGGACACCCTCTTGCCTTCTGCTATCCCTTGTGGTGGAGCCACAGCACCAGGGTAAAGGTGTGGGAGTCCCCTACTGTGTGTCCCCATGTCACCCTGCTGAAGCCTGCTCTGTCTCCCAGCATGGAGGAGTGCGAGGCGCTCTGCACCCGCCTGGCCATCATGGTGAATGGGCGGCTCAAATGTCTTGGCAGCATCCAGCACCTGAAGAACCGGTAAGAGCCCAGTGGGGATTCACATGCACTGTGGGAAGAGGTAGTGGTGTGGCACCCATGGTGAGATGTCAGCGTGTATGCGAGCGCTGCTTTGAGGGTGAGCAGGGGACGAGCTCACTTGGAGCATCCTGGCACTGTCCTCGTGGGTGCAGTAGCTGCCAGGGAGCATTGTCCTCTTCCATGCGGTCCTTCCCCACCGAGGTGCAGGTGGTGGTGGGTCCTCATGGGGTCCCTTGTCCCTGTGCAGGTTCGGTGATGGCTACATGATCACCGTGCGCACCAAGTCCAGCCTCAACGTCAAGGAGGTGGTGAGGTTCTTCAACCGCAACTTCCCTGAGGCTGTCCTCAAAGTGAGCTCCCTGTGATGGTGGTGCAGTCCCCTGCCAGCCCCTGCCTCAGGGCACAAGCAGCTGGCATCCTCCAAGGGACACCTCTGTGGGACCCCTGCAGGGGACAGGAGGGGTCAGGGAGAGGGGGCTCAGGTGTCACCTCATGTCCCACAGGAGCGGCACCACACCAAGGCCCAGTACCAGCTGAAGTCGGACCAGATCTCACTGGCGCAGGTCTTCAGCAAGATGGAGCAGGTGGTGGACGTGCTGGGCATTGAAGACTATTCTGTCAGCCAGACCACGCTGGACAATGTGAGACTGGGGATGGCGCAGGCTGCTGGATATGTGAAACCAGGGAGGGTGGCCATGCCCACTGGGGTGCCTGTGCCAAAGTGCCTGGCAGAAACTGCCTTTGGGATGGGAGGTGGAGCTAGGTGGGAGCATGTGGTAGCCACAGCCTGTGGGATGCTCTGGGGCCCGTCTCCAGTGGCACGGATCATAGGTGAGGGGTGGCCCTAACTCTTCTGGCCCTGCCCCCAGGTATTTGTGAATTTTGCCAAGAAGCAAAGTGACAACCTGGAGCAGCAGGAGACGAGCCCAAGCTGCGCCTTGCAGTCACCCCTGGAGCGTGTGCTGAGCTTGCTGCGCCCTCGGGCTGCCCCCACTGAGCTGCGGGCCCTTGTGGTGGAAGAGCAGGAGGACCTGGAAACCGATGATGAAGGCCTCATCAGCTTTGAGGAGGAGAGGGTGAGGAGAGGTTGCCCCAGATGTGGGTGTCCCTGGGCGCTGGGCACCAGGAATGGGTGCTGCGGCACCAGGCCTCATCTGGGGGTGGGGCCAGGGATGGACCCAAGTGAGGTCTCGGGGGGGCAGGTGATCCCCAGCAGCACTGGGTGTTCTGGGCAGAGCAAGCAGTCCCCAGCCAGCTCCTAAGCCTGCTCCGTGCCCTCAGGCTCAGCTCTCCTTCAACACGGACACTCTGTGCTGAGACCCCGGTGCAGCCACGTCCCCCAGCTGTGAAGCCACCGGACCTGTTCAGCCTCTTCCCTCTGCCCTGCTGAGCAGAGCTGTCGTGGCTGGAGGCATGTGCCAGGGATGACATGGTGCATTGACCCCCATGAGCCAACACAGCCAGCTGGTCCCCTTCAGCTCTGGGGCAGTGTCACCGTGTGGTGCCAGGGCCACCAGCTCACCCAGCCAGCACGTGCTATGGATGGAGACTGTGAAGAGAAGGACATGTGTCAGCGCCAGTGCCACCAGCCCTGCCTGCCATGTGGCAAAGACGAGGCCTTGTGAGTGGTGCCTTGTCTTTGTACCCACCCCTTGGACCCCAGCTGCAGGGACATCCCCCAGCACTGTCACCACCCCAGGCCTAGCCCCAGCAAGGTCAGAGGAAGGATATGGCTTTTGCTTTGTTTCCATTGTCCTTGGCTTGGCACTTGCCCTTGGGTAGCTTGCAGTCCAGTACCAGGGTCTGGTGCTTCACCCCAGGTTGATTTCTGTCACGAATGGGGTGGCATCATTGATATCCTGCTTGTCCAAGGCAGGGTTTCCCCACTGGAGCATCCTGCCCAGTCTTGCCACACATGCACTGGGCACTTGGCCAGGGCCCGGGGCCAGGCAGGGGGCATGCGGGATGGTGGGGTGTTTCACAGGGTATTTCACATGCTGGCACCAGCTGTTTCCCCCCTCTGCCCCCAGCCACGTTCCTCCTCCCGGAGCCACTCACCCTGCCTCCTGCCACCCCACCGCAGGGCACTGCTACAGTGGTGGCAAGTTGTGCCCCCCTCTTTCTCCCCTTTGCTACTCATAGCTTAGTGTTCAGCCCTGTGCAGTAGACACCTGCATTGGTTTCTTATTGTTGGGGCACTGGTGGGACTGGGAGAGGGGTTGCTGCACCCAAGGATGGCTTTAGAAGCTGGGAGTGGTGGGGTAGCCTTGGGATAGAAGGACAAGGCAGCACAGCTTGGTGTGGGTGCGGTGCCTGGGCTCGTGGGGGGACGATGGACTGTGGCAGCAGGGCTGTCAGTGCCCCTCCTTTCTGCAGAGGGTCCTGCTGCCTTGTCACCCACCCCAGGGACCATGCCTAGCAGCACCCCCAGCCTGCAGTGACCCGCAGCTGTGCCCAGAGGTGGGGTGATGGCCAGACCCATGACACAGACCCCAACCACCCACCCCTGCATGCCCCATGTTCTGCAGCAGCCAAGGGACCTGTGAGCAGTTCCTCTTTGTTCCAGGAGCACCTGGACCTGGCTGCCCCTTCTGCCTCCTGGCATGGGTTCAGCAGGAGGCCCAGGGCTGGCTCCTGCCATGGGCAGCACCTAGTGCCAGTGCTGGCCCCACTCTGTTGGGGCAGGGACAGCCTCTCCATTGTCCCTGTGCCCCTGGTCCCCTCCAGTCCTGTATGCCACCTGCTCTAGATTGTGATACAAAATACAGTATTTTCAATAGGGGAACCTGGGGGGAGATGAGCTCTATTTTCAGATTTTTCAGACCATATTTTTTTTACGGCATACAGGACAGGGGCTGGCGGGGGGGGGGGGGTGTGGTGGTGCTGTGCATGCGCTGCCTTCCCTGGGGCACCCCGGGGAGGAGCCAGCCTGGGGTCAGCCCTTTGCCACCAGGGCAAGAAGGGATGGTGTCACCTTTGGGTCCCAGCTCACCTCACTGGTGGCACCCCAAGGTAGAGCCATGCTCTGGCCAGGGCTTTGTGCCTGCCCCACTGCCAGGTTCCAGGTGGGTGCTGGCACTGGGGGTGTGGAGCATCCCCTAAACCCTCCCATTGCAGAGCTGCCCCCACCCTGTGTGTGCCACTGTCCCCATGCCCCATGGCTTTCGGTGGTCAATGGTGGCACAAACCCCACTGGGGGCACCCTGAGGGTGGCGGTGGGGTGGGAGCAGGGGGAGGGGTGGTTGCTGCCTTAACACTATTTGCTTGGTTGAGTTTGGCCTTGCCTCCGTCTTGCCTCCCTTGGCACGTCCTTGGCCACCAGCTGCAGGCACAGTGCCAGTGCCATGTGGGGCATGGGGTGAGGACGCCTTGGAGGAGCCTGTACATTGCTAGCAAAAGAAACAAGAGATTAAATGTGAAAAATAATGATCGTTTTAAATAAAAAAATAACTGGACCCAGCAAGAGTGTGTGGGTACTGATGGGCAGGAGCACCAGGCCTGAGTGCTGGAGAGGGCAAGGGCTGAGGAGGGGGGGTCACAGTGCACATGCATGGGCAGGAGCCTGCAATGGGCAAAGGGAGCTGGGCCCCACACAGGGCTGCACCCAGCACTTGGCATCTCCAGGGTGGGTGGTGGAGCTGGCTGGGGACACAGGCAGGAGCTGTCCTTGCAGGACTGGGGCTGGGCCCCATGGCAGGGCGGCCCTGGGTGCTGTGGGGCCAGGCATGGGTGGGAACAGGTGCACCCTAGGGAGGAATGTGGGCTGGGACCAGGCACGGCTCTTGGGCGCTCACAGCACCGCCACCACTCAGCCAGGAGCCACCACCCAGCATGGCAGAGAAACCCCAAATCCAGCTCTTCGTTAAGGTGAGAGGGGTCAGGGGGACCTGGGGTGCCCCAGGCCGGTGGGCACCTCTGGCAGGGCCTCAGGCGTTGCTGGGCTGGCTTGGCTGTGCTGCCTCTGCCCACTGCAGTGCTCATGTTGTGCCGTGGACGGCAGCGGGCAGCTCAGGGCTCTTCCCCAGGACACAGCATAATGCTGCCTGTGGGCAGGGAGGGCTCTGGTGCTCAGCCTGGGATGCTGGGCTGGGATACCCCCCACACCAGCCCCCTCACTCCCCAGCCACTGCAGCATCCCCTGCACCTGCCCGGCCCTTCCTGCCTCCACCCGGCCAGGGCAGTTTGTCTGGCTGCACCGGGCAGGACGGGCCCGCCTGGGCTCACACCCGGGAGCGATGGGGCCACCGGCATCACCATCACCCTTCTCCAGCACGGTCCCCACCGTGCTGGGCTCTCCTCTGCCACAGCTGCCCCAGGCCCCGTCTTCCTCAGCACTGTGGGGCTGGGGTCCTCATGTCCCCCAGCAGGCCAGGGCCAGCACCAGCCATGGAGGCTGATGGGGTGAGGCAGCAAGGCCCCAGGAGCTGGGAGGTGCTGGTGCCCTGCCCAGTACAGCCGATGCCAGCGCTGCTTGGCTGCCTGTAGCCATGCTGGGCAAAGGGGCCACTGAGCTCTCCCTCTGCCCACAGGCAAGTGAGGATGGGGAGAGTGTGGGCCACTGCCCCTTCTGCCAGCGGCTCTTCATGGTGCTGCTGCTCAAAGGTGTGCCCTTCACCCTCACCACCGTGGATGTGAAGAGGTGAGTGATGCCTCCTCCCAAGGGTCTGCCAGCCCTGGGGTCACAGGCAGGGTGGACAGACTTGCCCTGGCACACTTTTCCCACCCAGGGAAAGGTGCGAAGGATGGGCACTGTGGGACTATGGCAACTGTTGTGCATATCCACCCCCCCCGCTGTCTGAGGGAGGTATGTGGGCTTCTTCAAGGACTGAGCTGCAACAGGCACATGCTGAGGAGATGCAGCCTGGGAGCACCACCTCGTCCCTTTGCCCAGGACACACATGTGGTGCCCTGCAGAGCCCTAGGAAGTCATGAGGAATAGCTGAGGGACCTGGGGGGTTCAGTGTGGAGAAGAGAAGGCTCAGGGGGGACCTGATCGCTGCCTACAAGTGCCTGACAGGAGGATGGAGCCAGGAGGGGCTGGGCTCTGCTCCCAAGGAACAAGGGATGGGACAAGAGGAAACGGCCTCAAGCTGCCCCAGGGCAGGTTTAGATGGAGCTGAGAAACAATTCCTGCCCCAGAGGGTGCTCAGGCATTGGAACAGGCTGCCCAGGGCAGGGCTGCAGTCACCGTCCCTGCAAGTGTTCACACAGCGTGGAGCCGAGGCCTCAGTGCCATGGGGCAGTGGTGGCCTTGGCAGTGCTGGGGTAAGGGTTGGACTGGATGAGCTTAAAGGGCTTTTCCAACCTGGTTCATTCTGTGGTTCTATGATCTGTCCCCATCTCCTGCAGGGCACTGGACGTGCTGAAGGACTTTGCGCCGGGGGCCCAGCTGCCCGTTTTACTCTACAACGGCGAGCCAAAGACTGATACTGTCACCATCGAGGACTTCCTGGAGGAGAAGTTGGGCCCACCCATGTCAGTGGTAGCTGCTGCCCTGACAGGGGTCCAGGGGCCAGAGAGGGGCAGGACAGGCTGAGGAGGGGCAGCAGACAGCACATGAGCTCCTGCTGGCTCCTGCTGCCACCCTCAGTTGTGCCTGTGTCCCGGCAGGTTCCCCAGCCTGGTCCCGCAGTACAGGGAGTCCAGCCTGGCAGGGAATGACATCTTCCACAAGTTCTCCACCTACATCAAGAACCCAGTGCCTGCCCAGGACCAGGGTGAGCCGCTGGGTGGGGGACAGACACCTCATGCAACCTCTCAGGTGGCACCACCCTAGAGCCCCATCGGGTCACCCTGAGCCACTGCAGCCCTCCCCTGCCCCAGCTGGGGCTCCAGGCGCTGTCGCTCCCCACAGCTCGGTGTGGCTGGGTCCACGTGTAGGGCTGGGCGTGGGGCAGGAGCTGCAGCACAGCTGAGGGGCCCTGATGCTGCCACCCCTTTGCAGCACTGCAGCGGAACCTGCTGCGGGCCCTGCTGAACTTGGATGAGTTCCTGAGTGCCCCCCTGGAGCACGAGCTGGCCCATGAGCCCTTCCTCCGGGCCTCCCGACGCCGCTTCCTCGACGGGGACCAGCTCACCTTGGCAGACTGCAACCTGCTGCCCAAGCTGAACATCGTGCAGGTGAGTGCTGGCACCTCAGCACCGTTCACCTGCTCCTCTCCCTGGCTCCCCAGTCCTGCCCCTTGGTGCCTGCAGCAACCCCCTGTTCACTCGCCAACCCCCATGTCCTCCATGAGAGACCATCCTGTGTAGTCCCAGGGATGTGCCCTGGCCCCCTGCCACCCTCCTGCTTGTCAGTACCAGCCCCTGGCCATGGGGCCCTCCTTGGCACACCCCGGGCATGCAGTGCTGGGCAGAGGTTCACCCCGTTCCTGCCCGCAGGTCGTGTGCCAGCACTACCGGCGCTTTGGGATCCCCAAGGACCTGCAGGGCGTGTGGCGGTACCTCAACAGTGCCAGGGAAACCAAGGAGTTCAGATACAGCTGCCCCAGCAGCGAGGAGATTGTACAAGCCTATCGCTCCGTGGTGCGGTCGCTGCAGTGAGCACTCGCCCTGGTCCTGCTGTAACCATCACGGTCCTGCCTGCATGCACTGGGGAGGGCAGTGAGCATGAGCTGTGCACTGGCACCCACATTCCCTCAGCTGGCACCCCTACCCGAGGTGCTGGCAGCTATCTGCACTGCACTGCACCCGCAAATGCGTTTTCACCTCTTGTGCCATCCTCCCAGACCAGCCAGCACCCCCTCAACCTGCCCTGCGGTTCCTCAAGCATTGTAATGGGTACAAGGGGGCCAGAGCCACTGGCACCATCTGTACCAAAGCTCGGCAGTGCTGAGGACAAGGCCACCAGCTGGGGAGGAAAAGCTGCCCAGAGCAGAGGGCTGTGGGGCAGAGAGGGCAGTGGGCATGCCTGCAGCCTCCCTTGGAGGTACAGAATGCCACCTGCCAGTCAGTGACCTGCAGCATGATGTTCCCAAGCAGCTGCACCAGTGAGGGGAACCAGCACAGCCATGGCACAGCCCTGCAAATGGGGGGGGGGAACACAGCATGGGTGGAGGAGACGGCAGGGCCCCATCCCCTGGGCAAGGGGAGCAGAGGGCACTGCGCCCCTTGAACCTTTCATTAGGAAGCTCTCAGGAGCAGATTTGGGAGAGGGATGGGGGTGAGACAGGGCAAGTCCAAGCCATGTATCAGAGCTTCTGGAAATCAATAAACGCTTTGCAAGTGAGACAAGTGTGTCAGGAGTGACCAGCCTCAGCAGCTCTCATGCCTCACAGGACTTGACACCCAATTCCCAGTGCATAGCGGGGCCTGGACCCATTCTCCCAGCTCTCCTGGGAAAGCTCCAACCACTCACCCACCAGCCCACTGGCACACAGCTGTCAGGAAGGTGAGCTCTGAGCCCCTGACCCTCCAAGATCAGTTGAAATTGGCCACAGGATTCCCAACCAAAGGAAAGGCAGAATGGACCACCCATGTTGTCCTGGTCCCCAGAGACCAGCTGGCTAAACATCTTTACTGGCAATAAGTTAAGCACAGGCAATCTTTTAGTTATATGGCTATATAAAAATTCGTTAAAAACCCCACAAATTCATGGCAAGTGAGGTGGGGAGGTGGCCCCTGCCAGCAGGGAAGACCTGCAGGGGAAAAAAGCCAGCCCTCTGGGTCCTGCTGGTCCATCCGTCTTCCCAGGTGCAACTGAAACCTTCACCTGCCAGAGCCGCAGTTGGCCAGGCTCTGGTAGGGCAGCACAGGTCAGGAGTCCTCAAAGTCTACTCCAGACGGTGCCTTCTTGCTAGAAGGAGATGGAGGGAGCATCACACCCCCTGCTCCCACGCAGTTACAGAGCAGAGTCCACGGGACCTCTACACAGCCCATCCTTACCACTTGGCCCCAGCACTCACCTTTTAAAGCCAGGATTAATGAGAGACTCCCCTGGGATCTTCCTCCTGGCTGGCAAATCAGAGCCAGCACCCCTGTTCTTCCAAGGCTTGGGGTCTGCCTCGGTGAGGGACAGGCAGGACGGATTGCAAAGGGTCAGCCAGTTGCTCTGGCAGCCCTGCAAATCCCTCTATGCCTAGGGTGAGTGCCCAGCAGCCCAGCCTGGCAGGCCCAGCCTCCACGGTGAGCAAGGAAGGGCCCAGCCTGGCCTCCTCTCCCAAAGGAGCAGGGAGACATGGACCTGCCCCGGCCTCCAGCCTGGAGGAGCAGTGAAGCCTGACCTCCTCCTGGAGGCTACCACGCAACCTGCCTCATGATGCCTGGCACCTGACCTGAGCACAGCACATCCCAGACACCCACAAGACACCATGCTGACCCCTGGCCTCTTCTGTGCCAGAACAAGCCACAGTCAAGGGGGCTCAAAGTGTCCTGGAGAGCACATGGACACAGAAACAACAGCCTCCTAGGGAAGAGAAGACAAACAGCAGGACCAGGGGAGGTGCCCCCTGGCAACTGCTTACCTGGCAGGAACTGCTGCTGGTTCTGGGCTGTATTCTTCTTAGGGCTGCAGGAAGATGCCAGTGTCTCCACCACTGTTGAGGCAAGAGCCAGAGCCTGTGACCGTACACACACTCTAATGCAGCAAGCAGCACCCCAGGCCTTCCCTGCAAGTTCCATGTCCTCTACAGCCAAATATTCTCCTCCCAGAACTCTCACCCAGGCTGCCAAAGCCCCAAGATCCCCCTAGGCCCCCAGAACAGAGACCTCTGTAAGGTGAATCCCCCCTTCCTGATGATGGGGCCACGGGAACAAGGTTGTGTTTCTGCACAGGGACACAACACTGGTCCCACACAGGAGCCCTTCCACCCGAGGTGATGAAATGCAAATCCTGGCCAGCTTTGGGAACTAGGCAGCCAACGAGGAAGAAGGCAGCAGCATCACCTCTACTGCCTCCTTGTCAGTCCATGTGGGACCAGGGAGGAGAAACCACCTGGGGTGAGGCCAGAGAGGCCCAGAGCTCGTCTGGATCCCTCGGGGCAGCTCTGGGTGGGCGGATGATGCTCTGAAGGCTGCAGGGCGCTGCCCACCCCCGTCGCGCCTTCACCCCGATTCAGTCGGCCCGCACGTACCGCTGAGGCGTCTCTCCAGGCTCTCGATGCGCCCCGCCATGCCGAACAGCAGCGCCCGCAGCTGGCTCCTCGCCTCCCCGGCGGGCAGCGGCCGGAGATCCAGGGCCGAGCACGGAGCGTCCCCCTGCAGCCGTAGCGTGCCCGGGGCCTCCCCCGGGCTCAACGAGCCCGCGCCGCGCCCCAGGGCCTCCCTGCCCGGACGATCCGGGGTCAGCGGGGCCCGGAGCCGGGGCCGGTCCCCCCGCTCTGCCGCACGCACCTGAGCTTCGCGCCGTGCTCCTCCGGCTGGCACCGCTGCACGGGAGGAGGGCAGGTCCCGAAACCGCTTGTCTCTGGCCAGGCCCCGGCCCCGGCCCCGGCTCCCGACCCCGGCCCCGGCTCCCGGCCCCGGCCCCGGCTCCCGACCCCGGCCCCGGTACGTACGCAGCCCAGCGACGGGGGGGCGCCGAGCCCCCCAGCCCACACCTCCAGCGCATCGGTCACGCTGCGGAGAGAGCGGCTCAGGTTGCGCCGGGGCTCCCCAGCCTCCGCGCGGCCGCGGCCCCGGCCCCGCTCCCGCTCCCGCACTCACTAGACGCTGCCGCCGGGCCCGCAGTAGCACAGGTACCGGCACGACCCGGCCTGCAACCGGTGGAAGGGCCCCGCCGGCTCCGCCATGGCTGTCGCGCCGGAAGAGGCGGGCGAGCCCGTGCGGGCCCTCCCTGCTGCGCCGCCGCCAGCCCGGCCATGGTGACGCTGGGGGTGCGGCGGGTGGAGGATGAGGTGGCGGCCAAGCACCCGGTGCGCTGCGGGGCCGGCGGGGAGGGGAGTGGGAGCCGGGGCTGAGGGAGCCGGGGCAAGGGGGGAGCGGGTGTCCGCGCCCCGCGCTGAGCGTGTCCCCGCAGGCGCTGCAGCAGTACGCGGCCTGCCAGTCCCACGCCTTCCTGAAGGGCATCGGCACCTTCCTGGCAGGTAAGGGCCCAGCTCCCGCAGGAGCTGCGGGCAGCGGCGGGGGGCAGCGGCCCGGGCGGGGCCGTGGCCGGTAAGAGCGCCCGAGCCCTGGGTTTCGGCAGGCAGCGGGGCCGTGTTCGCGGTGCAGAAGCTGGTGACCAGGAAGGTGCCGTACAGCCTCCAGTGGAGCTTGCTGCTGGCCGGCGGTGAGTGTCCTGCCCCGGGGGCGGGTGGCAGCGGGGACGGTGCCGTGTTGCAGGCAGAGGAGCTGCTTGTCCATAGCGTGGGGGGTTCTCTCCCCTGGCTAATCCCTCCTCCATGGAGCCCTGTGGGATCAGGGATGGCCCACAGGCAGCTGCACCAGTAAGTGCATGCCAGTAGGTGCTTTCATAGGATTATGGAATAGCTTGGTTTGGAAAGGACCTTAAAGCTCCTCCAGCTCCAACCCCTGCCACGGGCAGGGACACCTTCCACTGGAGCAGCTTGCTCCAAGCCCCTGTGTCCAACCTGGCCTTGAACACTGCCAGGGATGGGGCAGCCACAGCTTCTCTGGGCACCCTGTGCCAGCGCCTCAGCACCCTCACAGGGAAGAGCTTCTGCCTAAGAGCTCATCTCAGTCTCCCCTCTGGCAGGTTAAAGCCATTCCCCTTGGCTTGTCCCTACAGGCCCTTGTCCCAAGCCCCTCTCCAGCTTTCCTGCAGCCCCTTTAGGCACTGGAACTGCTCTCAGGTCTCCCCTTCAGGAGCCTTCTCTTCCCCAGGCTGAGCAAGCTCAATTCTCACCACTGCTCTTAGCAGATGCCCTTGCTGTTAGCTTTCTCAGGAGCACCTTGGTCTCTTCAGCTGCAGGGTCCCTCGCCAGCTACGTGGTAACCAGAGCTGAGACACAGAAATGCTCTGACTTCTGGATTTACCTGGAGACAGGCAAGTTCCCACAAGAGCTCGCCATGGCTGGTAGAGTGTCTCAGCCTGCAGGTATGTTCACATCCCTCCCTGCTGCCCTCCCTGGGCTTGTCATGCCTGGTTCTTCCCTGCTGTTCCTGTCTCATAATTAAGCTGGTGACTGTCATTGCCAAAATCCCCATGTGCCCAGTGGCACTCTGCAGCTGAAGGATGGGAGCTTGTTCTTTCTGTTGCAGAAGATCTGCCTAGTCCAGAGGACAGAGGGAGTGCAGCACCCCTGGTGAGGAAGAACAAGTATGGGGACGTTGTGGAGTAGCTGGTAGAGCCCAGAGCACCATGCCCTTCTTGCCCTCCCTGCCTGCTGTGCCTGTGCTGCCTGCCAGCCTGGTGGGTCTGTGGCGCTTTCCCGCACCTCAGATGAGTTGATCGTGCAGTGAGAGCGTGGTAGAGGCACCACGGGGTAGAGGCTGCCTCCCAGGCGGCCTCTGAACATCACATGTGCGGGATGCAATAAAAGTCGAGAGCTGAAAGCGCTTGTGGACGGAGGCGGGCGGTGGTTCCGGGGCCTCGCCACGGGAGGGAGGCCCTGTGCTGGGGAGATGAGGGGCCCGGGGCGCGACCTTGGCTTTAGCGCTCAGAACATCTGAGCTGGAATCACATTTGCTCTGTGCAGAGATGGGGAGCAGCCAGAAGAGTGAAAAGCAAAGTGGCTGCAGGGGGCGGGTGTGCTGAGCCACAGTGCAGCGGGAGCAGGGAAAGGTGTTGATGGAGCAGAGCCCTGGAGCAGAGGTCGTGCCAGGAAACCGTAGCTCTGTTGAAGCCGCTCCTCTCCCGGGGTGTGTGGAGGGACACAGAGGGCTGGAGGATCGCTCCGGATGGGGTTGACAAGTCGGGACTGGGCCTGTGCTGGCAGCTGGATACGTGGTGGCTCTGAGCTGCCAACAACTACATGAACAGAATTGTGGGCTGCTCTCCTGCTCTGCCTGGGTACCAGAACCAGTCTCTGGGAGCAGAGGTTCCCTGTGTGTTCTCCTTGTGTGGAGTGAGCACAGTAGTGAGTGCATAGGACAGTCAGCTTGAGTGCTGCCTGCTCATGTCTTTGGACCTTCTAGGCTGATTAAAACTCTTCCACCTCCTCTTGGTCCCAGGTCTGGAGTGAGGTTTCAAGCCCACCTCAGTCTGTCTTCAGGCTGGTAAAGCATATGAAGCCATGGTGGTGTCTCAGCACTGGGCAGGCTGCAAAGGAATGAGACCTCCAGGCAGAGCCTGACTTGTGGCTGTGTCCGTGTAGACCCCGTAAGTGGCTCTACCCCTGTGGGACGGCCAGGCTTGACCAGCCTGTTGCTGATCGTGAGCCACGGAGCCATAGGAGTGGTTACAAAGATTTATTTCTGATTATAAAAAAAAACCCAACCAGACAAACCCAGACCTGCCTGTTTGCATGTCCCTGTTCTTGCTCAATTGGAAATAAAGGCGCGTCCTCCCAGCTGCCTGGGGAGGGGTGCTGCAGGGATCAAATCCTAAAGCAGAGCAAAGCCCCGCTCCCACAGTGAGCCTGTCAGCCTGGGAATGGAGGAGGCTCTGGCTATGGCCAGAGGCGAATCTGGGTTAGGAACCACAGGAATGGGGAAGGCACCATGAAGTTACTGAAGTGGGACCTGGGAAGCTGCCTGCTCCCCATGTCTGGTTGTTGCTAAGCCGCTGTCCAAAGCTCATGTGCTGAGACCAGTGAAAGTCTAGGCCAAGATCTGACCCTCAGAAAGGTCAGTGGGATTTGTGTGTCATCCAGAAAGACAGCATGGGCTCTGGCTGATGCCCAGAGCTCCCAGGAGGCAGGGTTTGTGCTTCAGGGACAGGCTAGAGAGGTCAGCTGTAAGGACTAGTGTAAATGTTCCCCACCCATGCCATGCACATGAAAATAAATCCTACTATTGTGACTTGCTGACCCAGTTCAGCCCAGGTCTGGTGGCAGAAAGATAGCCCAGGTCTGGTGGCAGAAAGATGCCCCAGGTCTGAATGTCCAAATCCCGAGTCTGCTCTGGGGTCCGTCCCTGAGTAGCACTGGGAAGCCCTTAAGCTGTTGTCCTGCCAGGCCAGCACTCCTTTTCTGTCCCTCCCTTTCTGCAGCTTGAAAGCAAGGGGAGGGCATGAAGGGGCAGCTTTCCTTCTGGGACAGGCAGCATCAGGCATGGGAAGAGGACATCTCTGAGCACTTGCTGCATTCCAAGTGTTCAGGCCATGGAGACTCCAGCAGGAAGGACGGTGCAGGGACCTGCAGACAAGGCTCCCTGACAAGGCCATTAGATTGTGCCAGACTTGCTGCGCCGGAGCAGGCAGACAGCGGTCACCAGAGATGTCAGGGTGGTGACCACAAAGAGCAGGATGAGGATGACCCAGTAGTTGTACAGCATGCTTTTGTGGGAAGAGGGCTTCTCTGCTGGGATCATGTTGGTGAGGTTCAGCATGTAGCCCAGGGCCCAGCCGATGGAGGTATCTCCTGCCTGTTGGAAGAGCATGGTGTGGTCACCACCCCACTCAACCCATCTCCACAAGCCTCAAGAGACCTTCCAAGGACCACCTCAGTGTTAGCCCAATGGAGGAGATGGGGGTGTGTGGGGGGGAATTCAGCACCGTGAGCCCTCGCTCGCCCATAGGTCCAGCCAGCCCAAGGATGAAGCAATGACTACCCTGTGCTGAGCTGGGCTTATCCAATGGGAACAGGATCTGGTCTGCTCAGGCTGGTCCTGACTTCACTGCCCATCCTGTGGCTCAGGAAGGCATCAGAGGTAGGATTCTGCTCTGAGATAACTTCCCAGCAAGCCTGAGCAAAGAGTTGTTTGCAGTGGCTTTTGTCTAGAGGGCCAGGGAGGGACTGGAGGACCTTACTCCATGCCCGGTCAGCTTAGCTCAGTTTCTTTCACCTCCCAAAAGATTCACCGAGACCCTGAGAGTCCCATCCTGTCCCTCTCCCCGAGATCTTCCCTCACACTGCTTAGCTCTTTCTTAGTGTGGGGCTCTCCTGCAGAACTTTCTGGCCTGACTCCAAGCAGATACCACGGGATGGGGATGTCCTCTGGCATTGCCCACCTTTTTCTGGAAGGCGATGTTGGGGAAGGAATGGTTGTTGAAGTTGTAGCCTTTGGTGGTGAGCAAATAAACAAACATGGTGACGGCGCAGTAATCTGGCAGCCTCTTCTCCAGCTTGGGGGCTTTCTGGAGCAGCTGGATGGGATGCATGGAGGGAGAAAGAAAAAGGGTCAAGCCAGGAGGGTTCAGGCTTTGTTTCTGTGGCCTGAAGCACCTGTCTGGCCAAGGCACTGCACATACCCACCTGAGGCACTCCTGATCCTATCACCTATCCCCCTATTCCATGGGTGCCAAGACACCCAGCTCCCTTGAAGGGCTGCTCTCAGTTCCTGGGTGATGCCCCACATGAAGCAGCCCTCTCCACCCCACCATGCCAAGGGAGCCCACCTCGCTCCAGTTGGTGGCACAGATCATCTCAGCAGCATCCTTCAGGTCACTGGGCAAGCGCACAGGCCTCCCCATCACTGTCTGGATGAAGTCCACCGTGTAGAAGAAGGCAGAGAAGGCCTGATGGAGGAAGGGAGACAACTGGGGGACAGGCTGGGAGCAAACCTTCTTGCCACCAACAGCCACTGTGGTGTGGTAGCACCAGCAACGGCCCTTGCAGGGCTGGGGGTTTGGGTTTGCTGCTGCATGATGCTGAGAGGCTGGGGAGACCTGGCCCACAATCCCATTCCATGCCAGGACTTACAATGAAGTTTCCTGAAACCTCTGGCTGGAAAATGCCATCAAAGGAACAGTGGGAGAAGGAGCAGGAGGTGAAGTCGAAGAGCTTGTTGACGTGCAGAGCACAGAGGCTCCCGTTCCCA